TGTGTCCTCCTCACGGTAGAGGGGTAGAGGCGGTTGTCTCCTTTGATACCCACTCTTTCCTCTCTTCCCTTTCCGGGCTCTGTGCTGCTCTGATCTGCTTCAGCACTCCTGCCTTCGCCATCCATTGGCCTCCTTTGTACCACACTCTCTTTCCACCTGTCTTATTCCTTAATTCTTCCCTTCCCCCGCTCTACCACCACACTAATTTCATATTGCTTTTGTTGACTCCTCCTTAGGAATACTGTGTCATCTTTCTCTCTCCTACTGTACAGCTATTAGCTCATATTTATTTCATTAAATTTCTCAATTTTTCATTAATTGCTACTGCAGTCCTCCCCTTCCCTACTCATCCGGAATAGATTCTCATCGTTCTCTTTGGCCATATGTTTCTTTAACCCATGTGCTTATTGAAGCTGCTCTCCTTTTGCTTCCATCTTCTGCCCATCTCTACCTTATCTCTTTATCCCTTGAAGCTCTGGGGGTCTGGAAAATAATGATGGGTTTAAACCAACAATAAACTCTCCGTTTACCATTCTTTAGACTGAATGAACATAGCCCTTGCACAAGACAGGTTTTTCTGAGAATAATAAGACCTGTCTCATAATGTTGCTAAATCCAAAGAGAATAATAGCAGGATCCCATGAAGAAATTAACTAAAAAGTGAAGAAAAAGCCACTGATATCTAGAATGAACTAAAGGATAGGGGCAGCTCAGGTAGGGTGGAGCTAAAGAACATCCCCTTGCAAAATTAAAGTTGACAGTTAACTGACATAATGGAACTGATTGATGAAGGAGTTACATGCCCCTGGAAGCCCATTCAATTGATTTCTTGGCCTCTTTATGTGCCTTCACAAAACATAATCCCCATCTCTCACCCAGTCCTTTGCTTGTGGCATCTTCTGCTACTAGGGTTAAAATGCTGTGTAACAGGAGATGGGTTAAAAAACAAAACAAACAACAAATGAAAGACAAACAACAAACAAAACCAACTTTGGTTGACCAAGGAGAAAAGGGAACAAAGATGGAGACTATGCAAGGGAGCTCATCAGATAAAAGGATACGAAGACAGTGTGAATAAAAAAAGATATATACAATGGTAGAGTGGGGGAAGGGAGGAAAATTAAGTCAGCAAGGATGAGGTTTGTGGTGGAGAGCTCCTGGAAAAGCAGAAGGCACACGGGAGACCCAAAGGCACATGGCAAACGAGGTGATCAACAATGCCAGAAGTTCCAAGGCTTCCCTGCTGAAGGTGAACAGAAGGCTGTCATGCCCATACTGAAAGGGCACTGGGAGTCATTAGGGGTAGAGACATCCGCTCCATCCCCCTACTTTTCAGGCCCTGACCACAGACTACCACAATCATGGCTGATAAGCAAACTCCAAAGTAGCTGAAAAGGCCACCGTTGTGCAGACAGACCCTGAAGGAGAGCCATGGATGGCCGAACAGTCAGTCTAGGCGTGACACTTAGGGACAGGGGTACGCGGTAAGGATCACTCCGATGAGAAGTGTCACAGTCAAGACAGTGACACACAGAACTGGATATAGATGGGGTTGGGAGCCAAGTGAAAAATGGCACAGCCACAGATTAGTGGGGGCGCAGGCACAGTGAGAAACGTGGTCCAGAGCTCAAAAAATTATAAGGGGCATAGGAGAGTGGGTGGAGAGTCGGGGTAGCAGGACAAGCAGGGCAGGCATGCTTCACCATGAATGGGGCTCCCCTCACTTACTTCAGGCAAAAATGAACATTAAAGGTATCCACTCCCCCTTCCAGCCCGCACCCCGGCGCGCTAGCCCATCCATCAGCCTTCCCGCCCGGGTTTCTCCCCCATCCCGCAGCCAGCTGAGCTCCTCTGTGCCGCAGGCCCCTCCCGGCTATAGCTCAGAGCCCTTGCACTCACCCGGCCTCCCATTCCCTCCAGGAACCCCGTTCCTGGTAAAAGCTCGGCGCGGTACGTCTAGGCTCTCGCTACCCTGTCTGTCTGTCTGACCCATATCTTTCTCTTCTCCGTTTCTCCACCCCTGCCTCTCTTCTCCATTCCGGATCGCACGCCCTTTCTCCCCCACACTCCTGTCCCCTTCTTCCCGGCTGTCTGTCCGTCCGCGTCCCCTCCCCCAGCCCCTTCCTGTCCCTCTCCGTCCCCTCCAGTAGCAGTCTCCCAGAGCTTCCTCTCTCCTCGATCTCGAGATTCGAAAGAGCATGGAAGGGAAGAAGAGTGAGAGGCAGAGGGGGGGAAAAAAAAGAAAAAAAAAAAAAAAAAAAAAAAACCAACCCAGCAGCATCGGAAATCGATGCACTTACACCTCAGCTGGAAGCAGGGACGGGAGTCGAACCGCGGCCGCCAAGCAGCGCGAGGCGGGGAGGGGAGGGGGCGGCTCTTGGAAGGGACTTCTCCGATGTGTTGATTCCTTTTTTTGCCCCTCCTCCTCCCTCCCTTCAGCGCTCGCTCCGGGGCGTCGGGGACGGAGATGGAAAAATAAATAAATTCACGGCGGTGAGGGAAGTGAAAGAAAATAATCAATGCTATTTGGCTGCGGCTGAAGTGTTTTCCCGGCTTCGTGAGTGGGTTTCCATTGATTCACCCTGGGCACTGGCTTGCTCCCTGTCTCCTCCTCCTCCTCGCCCTCCTCCTTCTAGCCCTCACTCCTCCGCCTCATTCACTGGCTGGAGCCGAGGCGTCCCACACAATGGAATAATCAATACCCAGGCGCCCGGGGCAGCCCCACTGAGCAGGTGCAGCGACCCGCCCGCCGCAGTGCATGCCGGGAGCTGTAGTCTACAGGCCTCCACCCTCCATAGACGGCTAGCGCCAAGTCTACCCGCATCCCAGGATGCAAAGACCTGGGTAGGGTCTGGGATCTTGGGGCGGGACAGGCCAACCTTGCCATCCGGCTTCTTCCTTGACTCAGGCGCTGGGTCTACTCTATTCCTGCAAAAAGGGTAGGTTCCCTTTAAACACTCGTCCCCTCCTCTTTATCCTGCTTACAGAAACTGTATGTCTTAAGTCATATCAGAGCAAGCTGTTTCACCCTCTTCTAGCCTTATCATTTCCCTTTTGACTACTAGAAGCTTCTCTGTCATAGCAAGTCTCCCAGAGCTGCTGCTGTCTTTTCAACTCAGTTGCACTCCCCCCCGAGTTGGGTAGGGAGAGGGGAGGTTCTGGTTCTTTCTCCTCTTCAGCTTGTCAATGCTTTATATTCTAATTTCTAAGATTCTAAAACAGAGTATGCAGGAGTGCATTTTATAGTAGAGGAAACCAATGATTACCAGCTCAAGATTTCATGGCCAATATACAATAGTACCATTATGCAAACCTTAGTGGCCTGACTCAAGGGCCCAAGCTCGCTGCTATGGCGTATTTTTCTTAAGTGACAATAGAAAAAACTGAAGTTGAGGGTGGGGAAGAAACCAATACTTTCCTACCATGTAACAGTTGAGTTTGCTATGAATCTCCAATCCTCATATACTTGTGAGGCAGACCACTGAGAAAGCAGAGACTTGGGAGGTAGAGTAGTGTGTCCAAGGGTAATGGTCTACAAAGTGAAGTGAGGCAGTTGGCTCTGAGTTTCCTGAAGAATCCAATAAGGAGCACATGAGAAGAGTCAGGGCCTGGGGTGTTTCCTCCCCACGAAGATATTTGGCTTTACTTTTCCGTCTTGTTGACCCAGAAAGCTCTGGTATTTTCTGTGTTCTATAAGATCTAACCCAGCAGTGTCTGTAATGCCACCTCATGTTCAAAATGCCATGTCTGTAACCGGGAACTTCCCATAACAACCCCCCCCCTTGGTTGTTTCTAGAAACATAAGGGAGCAGCTGTCACACTTGTCACTTATCATAGAAGCAAGTCTAGAAGTTGATGGTGTCCTCACTCAGAGGCACATACAAAATTAAGGTCTAGAAATACACTGCAGTGTTAGGGTGTAAGGTCAAGGATCTATCTTTGGTTTTGAAAGCAGAGGGAGAGTGACTCCTAAGTCTTTTCCAGACAAGGTGTCTCCCTTAGCCCAGGGTGACCTCAAGCATCCCACATGCTGGAGTTACAGCTGACAAAGCCAGCTCATTAATCTGGCACTCACCAGTGACTTTTCTTCAACTTGCCACTCAAGCTATGGTCTGCTCAGATACTAAGTGCTATAGCTAGCTTTTGGGCATTTACTCAGGAATTTACCCTTCCACGTAGGTGTCCAGCAACCAAAATCCCATCACATTCTTCTCTTCTTCTCCCTCCTCCTTGAATTAATTTTTTAAAAATTAATTTCAGGGCTTTGTAGTACCGGAGGAGTCCAGAAGAGGGCGTCAGATCTCCCAGCAACTGAGTTATAGAGGTCTGGCTACTTAAGTGCTGGCAAGGTAATCCTAGTCCTCTTTTAAGAACAGCAAGTGTTTTTAAGTGCTGAACCATCCATCACATCTCTAATTCACATTCAAAATACCACTTAAACATTCGTAGTAGTTTGGATTAGATGCCCTCTAAAATTCCAGGATAGAGGCAGGGCATGGTGGCTCACACACTCTAAGGAGGATTAGGCGTTCCAGGCTAGTTTCGTTACATGAGATCCTTGTGTCAAAAAATAAAAACAAAAAACCAAACACACACACACACACACACACACACACACACACACACACACACACACAAGAAACATTCCAAGTGGCTAAATTAAATTACTCTACTCATGAGCCACACCATTGCCACTGGCAAGCCAGCCCTTAGTGGGCAGCCATGAACTACAGTATCGAGCGGCTTGCACCTCATCAGGCCCACCCACAGTCTACATTGGGAGGGGTTGGGGACTGGAGCTTAAGTTCCTTGCATTCTATTCTTCACGTTTGCCACCCCTCAATCTCCGCCTGTTAAGCTTTAGGTGGAGTCCGGCTGGCTAACACTAATTGCTGCTTTCTGATCACCATAGCGACGGGTGGGCATGAAAGGTGAGGTGGCCCTTTGGAACTACATCTCCCATCATGCATCAGGCCCAGGGTGCCAGGCTCACGTTAAGGCTCGAGAGCTTGGCTGGTGCCCGGGCTCCAGGAAGGATCCGGAGATGAGTAGCGAGCGAGAGGATGGTCTCGCTCGTCTTGCCTACCGGGTTGGGTCGCAAGTAGCCTAACAGACCTCTCGGGCCTAGCTTGCCATAGGCACCGCCACACCGGTCTAATATGGCCGCTGGTGCTAGGACCGGACCCGTTCGTAAAGAGCCAGGGCCAAGGTCCGGAGCCGGAGATTGCTCCCGGCATTCCTCGCGGGTGTAACGTGGATTCCCTTCCCCCCATTTCCGGGTCCCAAGAGAGGGAGACCCTGGGGTCTTGAAGAGAGTTCTGAGGTCGAGCTTGGTCGGTCCTGTGCGAGGAATGACAGGACATCCTGGGCAGTGAAACACAGGCCTTGGTGGCAGGATGTAGGGAGAAGATGTTGAAACGTCGTCAGCTTCGCGGCTGCTTTCTAGGGAGCCTTTTGGGTTGAAGTCATTACCAGTACTAGGATTTAACTGGACACCTGCCACCATTGCAGCACGCTGAAACTTCCAAGTACAGCCTTTTGTCACTGAGACAAAGCTCTGAGATAGTGTGTGTGCCTCTTAAGTTCATCCAGGACTAGGGGTCTCCGCTGACAAGTTGTATCCTTGAGCACACAGTGAATTCTTTGCAAACGTGTATTGCAGGTAACATGGCTCAGGGCTTGATTGAAGTGGAGCGAAAGTTTGTTCCAGGGCCTGACACGGAGGAAAGGCTGCAGGAGTTGGGGGGCACTCTGGAACACCGGATCACCTTCCGAGACACCTACTATGATACTTCTGAGCTAAGCCTTATGCGGTCTGACCACTGGCTGCGACAACGACAAGGTAGTGGATGGGAGCTCAAATGCCCTGGAATAGCAGGTATCTCAGGACCCCACAATGAGTATGTGGAATTCACATCGGAATCTGCAATTGTAGCCCAGCTCTTTGAACTATTGGGGGCTGAGGAGCCGGAGATTGCGGGTGTAGCTGCTGTCTTGGCTCCACTGAAGCTGCAGGAAGTAGCTAGTTTTATAACTACACGAAGTTCCTGGAAGCTGGCCTTATCTGGAGCCCATGAACAGGAGCCACTGCTCAGAGTGGATCTGGATTCGACAGACTTCGGCTATGCTGTGGGTGAGGTAGAGGTCATGGTGCATGAGAAGGCTGAAGTACCAGCAGCACTAGAGAAGATCTTCAGCTTCAGTAGAATGCTTGGTGAGGAAGACAGGCCCTTCTATGCTCAGCAGTATGCTTGTCGAGGGAGACAAGCTTTGTGATGCTGTCTCTGCATCTTGTTTAACTTCACTGGTGGAGGCACCCAAGTCATAGAGTAGTGGAGTCAGAATCATCCCCCCTCCCCCCACCCCCAGACAGGGATTCTCTGTATAGTCCTGGAACTCACTTTGTAGACCAAGCTGGCCTCTAACTCAGAGATCCATCTGTCTGCCCCCTGAGTGCTGCAATTAAAGGCTTACGCCATCACTGCTGGTTCAGAATCTTTTTGTTTGTTTGTTTGTTTTTCGAGACAGGGTTTCTCTGTAGTTTTGGAGGCTGTCTTGGAACTGGCACAGTAGACCAGGCTGGCCTCTGCCTCCTGAGTGCTGGGATTGAAGGTGTACACCACCACTGCCCGGCTCACAATCATTTTTATAAGGGAAATTTCTTGTAGCAATTTTCTCAAAGATCCAGTTTGTTTACACTTCTATAAAGTAATTTTCTATTTTATAGTAGGTAGTTTGGATTTAATTCTTGTCTCCACTCTTTATCGTAGTTATCACCTCGTTTAATTTTCCTAGTTGTGTTTATACGGCCACTGCTTTGTTCCTTTCCACAAGCTTCCATTTTCTCTTTCAACTTCCGACATCCTCATTATTACCTTGCCTTTTTCTTTGGTCTTCTATGTAACTCAGGTAAGGCCTTAAGCTTGGGATCCACCCCAGTGCTGCGAGTACAGGTGTAGGTAACCACACCCTCTGGACTATGCTTTTGGCTTGGAGTAAATATGAGAACATTGTATTTGTATGGGGCAGGGCGGGTGCTGTGGCAGACTTTTCTGTTTCCTCGCCTAGCTCTGATAGAGACAGCTCATCCCAACACTCAAGGGTTTGTATACCCTACAGGTCCTGACTGCCTTACAGGAATGAACCTCCTTAGAAACCACACATCAGCATGCCGATGATGTCCATTAACAACACTGGCAATAGGTGGTTAGAAGCGAGATCCTGCAAGCAGAACGGGGCCGAAGTTCCTGCTTTCCTTTATTTGCCACAGCGTTCAGTTTTCTTCTGTACTTCACTGCATGTGCTTCATTACTGAGCTAATGAGCTCTGGCTAGCCTAGATGGGCTTGAATCTTGATTGGGAGAGAGGGGTAATAAGTGAAATGAGTTGGTTCCCCTGTCTTCATGGCACAGAGTGCTGCTTCCTTACTATTTCTCATTGCCAGAGAAGAGGCTCATGTCATACAACCAAGTGGATCTTTGGGGTCTCACCTCTGCAGTCCAACAAGGGAGTGGGAGGCTTAAGAGATGCTGCTCGGGTGGCATCTGGATTCTTGGTACTGCTTTGCAAACTTCGGAGTCCTGGCTGGGCGGGCGGGCAGGGAGTAAAGTGAAAGTGTGTTCAATGGCTGCATGTTTCTTTCCTTATTGTCCTCTTGCCTGCAGGAGTGCCAGCACAGGAGAAGGCACCTGCCAAGCTCTTGGTATACCTACAGCGCTTCAGGCCTCTGGACTATCAGCGCCTGCTGGAAGCAAACGGCTCCAGTGAAGCCACAGGGGACTTCACATCGTGACAGCAGTTTATGGGCGTGGGGCTCATTTTCTAGGAGGGAAGGGATCTCTCTGAAGCTGCCATCCACACCTGGACCCACTGTGCCCCTTCCCTTACAACAGAGCCACATTTGTCTCCAGTTCTACCTGGCCTTTCACCCATTCTCAGCCTCTCTTCCCTGAGCCCTCCCTCACTGCTTCCCTCATCCGTCAGATGCAATCTGTGGGCCGCCCCTCTCCCCTGGCCGCTAAGCAGCCTCCATTGATTTCCGCTCGTGTTTATAGGATTTCCACTTAGCCGTGATCAGTAGTTAAGCACGGGAAAATCCCTTGCCACCCCCCTCCCGTGGTCGATGCCATTGATTCTGCCAGCAGTTCTGAAGCTGCCTTACAGCTGAGTTAGAGATGCTGGGAAGCAGCAGGGATTTCCCTGCCTTGGGGTGTAGGGAATAGCAACAAGGTGGGGAAATGGTTGGGAACTTCTGTTAGAAATCTGGAAATTCTGCTGGGTCTGCCACTGTGCCCAGAGGGTAGACCGCCCTGTGTGGCAGTTGAGAGATAAATTTGCTCTCCAACCCAGAGAGGGGTAGAAAGAAAATCATCATTGTTGAGACAGGTTCCTGGGGTTTCAAGAAGTCATACTTCCCGTGGAGAAGGCTCTACCCTTGTTCCTACACATTTCTTTCTCACCAGGTCAGGATATGCCTTTTACCCCCTCCCTCAGGTTTCGTAGGTTTCCATCATTTGTCGGGGAAGAGGCAGTCTCTTCAGATTGTGGTGACAAATATAGGGCTGGAGTGCCACCTGCTGTCAGCCCTCAGGGGCTGTGTTCTCAGCTGACGGCGTGGAAAGATTTTAGGTGAGTTGAGGCAGTTTTGAGGCAGGCTAGTTCAGGCAACAGCTTAGCCACCCGGAACTGCACTTGGTTTGAACTGTATACACCTTTCATCTAACAATGCACTTGCTATCCAAGGATTCTCCCCTGCATGTGCACACATCCTTCTAACAACGCACCTAGGACCCCCACCTGTATTGAGTTATGTTTAATGTCCCACTTCCAACAAAGGAATAGGCCTCTCCTCCCCCGGCAGCCATCAAAAAGTACCCTTTTTTGGACAGTTTTTTATTTGACAGTTTTTATTCAAACATTTTAGAATATATCCGAGTATGGAAAACGGAGCTGACTGGGCTTGGGTTTGGGTGCAAGCAGAGTAAGGCAGACTGTGTCCTTCAGGTGAACTTTTATGGAGAGTCCCTATTTACCATCCCATGCCTATGCAGAATGAGCATTTGATTAAAATCAGATGCATCATGGGAAAGGTCATGCACAGTGAGGAAAGGCTTACAGATCCAAACCTGTCAGTTAAAATAGAGACCACTCAAATTATGCCACTTAGCAATGAACTCCCTTCCCTTAAAACTCCATTAAAGAAGCATCAGGCAATAACCCCGGGCCCTTTTGTACTGTGGCCATTGCCTGTCACAGTGTATTTCTGATTTGTATCATCACTTCACTTTTGAATAAAGTTTCCTTGCTATTGGCAATTTATGTGCACCTTTATTTCCATTCCTCCAATAAGACACCAAGAGCCTAGAAACACCCAGGCCAGACACAGACCACAGCAATTTACTGCCATGTCTCCACAGGCAAGTTATCCACCTCAAAGATCTCCTGTACTGGCTGGCCAAAGTGGTTGTAGGTGAGGCGCAGCTTTAGTCGCAAAGTTGCCTAAAAACAGGAAAGCAGAGACCAGGGTTAGGTTGCTGATTGTCCCCATCTCTCCTATCCACAGGGTCTGACAACTCACCTTGTTAGGATTGAGGATTCTGAAGAGCTGGGTGACAGGAAGGCCACCCTGCGCTGGAATTGTGTCCCCACTGGGAGCCTGTAATTGCATCTGGAAACTCTGAACATGGGAGGTTTGGGCAGAGCATAGTAAGGCCTCTGGTTGGGCCCAGGCAGTCAGCCCTCCACACCCAATGGCTCCCAAACATTTTTGGATATTCCCCAATAACAGTCTACATCACCCCTTTCCTATTTCACTCACATTTCACTCTGCTTCCCACCCACCCCACTGGCTTCTGGCCTTTTCTCCTAGCGTGCCTTCGCCACCTCTGAATCCTGTTTCTTCTTTCTTTGTGACAGTGTAGCCCAACTTGGCTTTAAACTCACTATGTAGCCCAGGTTGGCCTCAGTGATTCCCCTGCCTCAGCTCCCCAAGTTTTAGAATTACAAGCATGAACCCCATATTTTCAAACCTTGGGCACAGCTGCCTGGCAAACGAAGTGGGTAACATCCTCCTTTGAGGAGTTGGTGCTGGTGGCAGTGACTAAGAGCAAGCCTGGGGTTTCCAGGGGCCGTGTGAAAGAAAGGTCCAGCTGTACACCCTCACGTTCAAACACTCTGAGACTGGGGATGGGAGCTGGAGAAGGGAGAGAGGCAACTCAGTGCACAGGCTTACAGCACGTTCATTCATGCATCCAATAAAAATGGAGTGAGTGAATCTTGGCCCTGCATTGTCCCAGATCAAGTGGGAAACTAGACAAGCTGAGGTTGGAGTTGACCATCTAGTGGTCGGTGGGGAGGGGTGGGGTAGGGTAAACAACAAAATACAAGGTAATCATCGCCATGATGTTACAAACAAACAGTCAAAAGTAACCGGGAAGAACTAGGTTAAACAGGAAAGCAGGAGAGGGAGGTAAGACAGATGCCATTTAGCTGAAGCTGGAAGAGTGAGAATGAGTTAGTCATTTGAGGGTAAAGAACATGAAATGTCAAGTGTTTGAGGTTTGGGGAGTTGAAGGGACCGGTGGAGTGGGTCGGGGGAAGTGATATGACACAGCCTGGAGCAGAAACAGGACCACAGACTAGGGAGAGAAATATGACAAGGGAGATTGTTATAGAGCAACAGTGTGGAACAAGACCTTACCTACTGAGATGAGTGTCTCCATCCTTGGCTCAGAGAAACAAATGACACATTTTCACCCACCTTCTACAAAGTACCTCCCTTTGCTGAGGCTTACCAGGGGGCGGAGGTGCACAGGGAAGGTCGAGGAGGTGTACTAAGGCCTCCCCTGGGGAAGGAGCCAGAGGAAGATGTTGGGTATGCCCAGGAGTGTCATCCAGGAGATCGAGCAGATCCAAGAGCTTAGCGGCCTGGGGAAAAGAGCAGGACAATCATAGTAGGGTGTGGACACCCACAAGAGTCCCAGGTCTTCCAGCCTCCTCACCTGGGGCTCTGTGGGGACAGGGGCTGCTGCTTCCAAGAGCTGGGCCCCTTCTTTGTTTTCCTTCTTTTCCTCAATAACTTGAGAATCACCACGCTCCACAAGCGGCATCTTTTCAAGGATGGCAGCCCTGAGAGGATGGCATGCAAGGGTCCCTCTGTGTGCGCACTTGGGAAGAAGACGAAGAACACGGAGGGGCCCTGGGCATGCCGTTCTGGTTTCCTAAGTCAGTGCACTGTCTTTAGACAAACCATGAGGACTGGGAACCAGTTCAGTGTCAGCTACGGATGGGAGACTCTCACCACTGAGAGCAAGGGTATGGGAGGGTTCCACTCTCCACTCTCATCTCTAGAAGGGAGCACAGAGTTTGGAGCTCTCCATGCGGGTTTCTGGACATACCTCATGTGGTCATATTTCTGGAAGAGTACGTTATATTCCACAGCCCGCTGTTGAAGCTCTATGTCCACACAGCTCCCGTAGATGGACACCACCTGGCGGATACGACTGGGCCACAATGTGACACGTGAGAGGCAATGGCAGCCAGCTTGCTCTCCCACTCCAGGAGAAGAGGGAGGGAGAAGCCTCACAGAGTAAGGAGACAGCTAATATATGTGGCTCAAAAACAGATTCCTAAGGACTAGAGGGAGGGGGAGAGGGAGGTAGCCAGGTGAAGGGACATCTTTAAGGGCTGGGACCTCCTTCTTACTTGTTGTCTCCCCGGAACCGGGCGCTGAGTTTCATGAGAGCTGTGATGGCATAGCCTCGGGTGGCTGGTAGGGACATGTGGGACTGTAGCACTTTTTCCAGGAGAGCTAGCACTTTCTCCTCTTCCACCTTCAGATGTGGACAACCGGTCATGACCACAGGTCGTGTCTGTCCTAATGAACCCTCCCCAGAGCACCTCTCACTCCTAGATCTTACCTGAAAAGGCTCAGTTTCCTGGCAGGTACCCTCCAGCAGGAGGTCCCCATACTCGCCAATGCACCAGGCTGCCACCTGAGCCAGTGGTTGCTGTATGAAGGAAAAGACACCTGCTAGTTGGGGGCCTCCTCTCCTCCAAACCCTACAATGTCCCTTCACTGCAGTGGGAAGATGGTGGGGTTGGCTGGGTAGGGAGGGAAAGGTGTTAGCAGGCTGCCTTGGCATTTTGGTTCCTACTGCCCTCTGGTGGGCATGCACCAAAACTACATGGCCCGATCACATGACCTGAGAGGCTCCCTCTCCTGAGGAAACAAATATGGCTTCTGCCCACTCTACTTAAGTTGACAAAGGGCAGTTATAGATATCTGCTGGCATCTGTTAATCCACTCGACATTGGAGGTAATAACAGAAATGAATATATGTGCCAAGCTTTAATATATCTCATTAGATCTTGAAGATATCCTGGGAGGTGGGCATTCTAGAAGGTTGAGCATGCAGAGCCTAAAGAAAGTTAAATTATTCATCTGGAGCTGCAGTCAGTAGGCACCAGGCCAGGACAGAGGCCTAAGCAAAAGACAAGCTTTGTCTTCGACCATCTTCTGGCTCCTATGCTTGGGGAAAAACCATTCAAATTCCAGTGTTGAAAAGGCTGGTCAGCTGGACCTGGGGGGAGGAAGTGAGACCTGAGAGATGTCCTCTGCTAAGGCACTGTAGAGGCGGCGCACAGAGTAGGAATGAAGCTCCTGAGCCTCCCCAATCAGCTGGGTCAGGTTGGCCACTGCGTCGTCCCTCACATGGGTGCCTGCCTGGAGAGGGGTGGATATGGCCAAGTCAGAGCAGTGAGACCTGCCCACTCCTGCCCGACCCCCTGACCGCCCCATCTCACCGTGGTCAGCACGTGCAGGATGGTGTCTATGTGCCACCGCTTGCTTGGAGCAAACCTAGGGGATGTGACTCATCAGTCCTGTCACTGTCCCTTTCCAGGACACACCCTCTGACTCCTAGGCACTTCTCATCTCACCTCTCTGCAGCCAACAGGATGCCCGAGGCACAGTCAGCCCGAAGATCAGGGGGGCAGGATTCCAGAAAGGCCTGCAACTCCTGCATCATGGCTCGCACATTGGAGCTGTTCACCAGAGCCAGGCTCAGCTCCAGGGCCCGCCTGGGAGGAGAGAGGTGTCCATGCAGATGGCCCAGGCTACCTCGCTCTAGCTCCACGGTTCCAGGTACCTTTTCCTTTAGTTCTTACTCCAGCTGCTTTGCGTTTCAGCCGCCAAGCACTGTGTCCTCTGCCCTGTCCTTTTCTCCCTCTGCTTACCTGCTAAGGGAGGCATCTGTTTCCTGTAGACATTCTACCACAGTGGACCGGTGACGCTGCACAGCACTGTGATCAGATTGCACCAACCGAAGCAACGATGTCAGGGCCACATACCTGGTCAGAGTAAGAGAGGCCATGTCACATGAGGTCCTCTGCCTTGACACCCTGTGTTGCTTCCAGTGTGGTTAAGAGTCAGGTGGATCAAGATGGAGGAATGTAGAGGGCGACATGTACAGTAGAACAATCTAGCCAGACACTGGGGGCTGTTACCTAATATTCTTGTCATTGTTGAGCAAGAAACGGCCAAGAATGTTAACAGCTAGAACCTATGGGAAGAAGAAGGTGGAGGTGGTCAGAGGAGAGGGGCATTGGGGACCAGTGACCAGTGACCGGGACCAGCTGGGTAGGTAGAGCTACAGCTGGAGAACACATGGGTATATAATGGTACCCGGAGGCCTGCTGCAGAGTGGATGTCCATGATGGTAAGCACTGTCTCCAACAGGACCGCGTTGCCTGCATTTCGGCTGGTGTCTGTGTTGGTGGCGACCTGTGTGGATGGCGGGAGAGAAACCATCTGCACAGGGCTCTAGACTCCCTGTGATTTCTGGAAGGTGACTATTGTGTTCTCTGTTCATCCTTCCACCCCTAACAAAGCCCCCTGAGCCCTCTCTATGTTAGACCTGGCTACACACTAGCATAATAGTGCAATGCCAGACTATATCCTTCCTTCATAGAAGCCATTGGCTTAGAGGTCACTCGAGGGACATCCAGGGCTGATGGGCTGAGAAACCACATGCATAAGGGGTGTCTCTCACCTGGGCCAGCAAGTCATTCATGGCCTCGCTGCTTTCCTCATGGTTCCGTCCCAGGATTCGAAGCAGACGAAGTATCTGGACCTGAGGTTGGAGTAGAGGGGTTTTATAGGAATAATGTCATGAGCCTGAAGTGAAGAGACCTAACACTATGGGTAACACTGAAGGCTCTGACTCCCCAGCACTTCTCACCGCCCTCCCCCTCTCCCCACAGATCCCCTGGACCCCGGGAGGAGATCAGAGACGTATAGAGGCAGGGGAGTTTGGAACAGGCCTTTTTTAATTTGTTTTTTTTTTTTTTGGGACACAGTTTCTCTGTGTAGCCCTGGCTGTCCTGGAACGGTGCTTTGTAGACTAGGCTGGCCTTGAACTTGCATAAATCCACTTGCCTCTGCCTGCCTCCCAAGTGCTGGGACTAAAGGCATGTGCCACCACACCCAGCTTTGGAACAGGCTTTTTATATGGTTACCAAACTGGATTTTCTGACTTTTTGCTAGCCACCTTCTATTCCTTATCCCTAGTCCTAGGGTGACTAGAGCACTCCTGAGACTTCCAGTTGGACTGTGCCAAAACGGAACATGGCTACCACTCATGGTCTTCCTGTGAAGTCTTTGCTGTTCCAGGGATACAAGAACATCTTAGCTTACCTGTAAGAAGGGATCACTGACTCCAGAGATGCTGTGCTCTGTTGAGTATCCTGTTGTCACTAGAGTCCGGAGGATCTGTACCAGCTGGGGTACTACCTGGAAGAAGGGCACAGGCAGCCTTGTCTGAGGGCTTCCTCTCTTCTCAACCATCAGCCCCCATTCTTCACCCACCACCCACCTTTGCCTGCCCCACGGCCTGCCCCTTCACTAGCCCACCTTTCGAAAGTGCCTGAGGGCTGCAGGGTTTCTTTCACAGAGCTCCGTGATCAGCGTGACGGTGCCCAGCAGGATGCCTGGGGTCAGGGTGGGGCAGTGAATGGTGGGCCAGGCCATGGGACAGTCTACTACAACGTGTGTTTGTATTTGTGCACCACCCTTGTCTGATGAGCAGGGCTTCCAGATTTGCTTTTCATTTCGTCTATTCATAGCCAGACCTGAAAAGTATGGTGGAGAGCCCTGTGCCCTTACCATGATGACGCTCACGGAGCAGTTTGGCACAAGGTGGGAGGAAGATGCTGGAGAGCTCTGGGTCCTTCCGGATCATATGCACAGCAGTCAAAACAGCCTGCAGAAGCCAAGGGCCTCAGATAGGGCTACCAAGTTAGACTCCACACCTCTTCTACGTGGCAGCTTGGGAATACCTTCTGAAGAGGCAGGCGTCTAGAGGTCTACATCTCACCTTCTTCCGCACATAGGGGCTGGGTTGTAGGAGCAGCTTCTCCACCTCGGTGGCTAGGTCTCGGCACATCTCAGCAGAGCCCATGGTGCTGAGAGTACACAGGGCCAGACCCTGAACTGGCTGAATCCCTTGGCTCAGGTCACTGTAGGGTTTGGAAGGATGGTCAATCAAGCCGGAGAAAACCAGTTCTTCCCAGTACTGAGAGCAGGCAGCCCTCTGGGATTTTGCGGTTCCCACTCTCCCAACGCCCTGATTTCAAGTGCCCCAGAACCCTCTCACTTCTTGATGCTGTTGGTAATGAGCAGATGGGCGTCGTGCCTCTCATCCAATAGAAGCATGGCCCCAAGGTAGCCCACCCTCTTGTCTGTGAATCTGGGGGAGGCGATCAGTTTCAGGCACTCCATCTACAAGGAAGGAGGCAGACCAGGAAGGGTAGTGTGAAACCGCTGCACTAGTTTTCCGACTTCAACCTCCTTAAGGCGAGATTAACTTGTGAGGAATCACATTTCATCACCTTCTCTTTACCCAGAGGTTTAAGTGGAGATTCAGATGGCAGACAAGATTTCTGGGACCTGTGTAGGCATGGAGGCTGGGAGACGATGGGGAGGTGCTAAGAACGGGGCTGAGGAGTCACCAGTAGGTTAATGGATAAAAGGCTCAGAAACTAAAGGATTTAGCTGGGCAGAATGGGGTATGTCTGAAAATCCCAACACTGAAACCGAGGCAGGGATTTATGCCAGTTCTAGGCTAGCCTGGGCTACAACCTGTCCCCAAACAAAACACTGGAGAAACACAAATGGGATACAAATATGCAAAGAGGCCTATTAGTCATCTTCGCCAAGTTTTGTAGCTTTCTGGGGGCCAGTACCTGTCCAAAGTGGGCGGGGTAGCCCAACATGTGGACGTAGAGCAATTTGGCCAGCTGGCGATGCCTCTGCAGGGGGTCCCCATCTCGGAAGGAGGCCCGAATTTGCGCACACTCCTTCTGAATCACTTCCCGTTCCTGGGCCAGAGTCTTGGCCCCGCGTATCTCTTCGATTAGGTCCTGAAGTTTTAACGAAGGCACCACCATCCTGGGGGCAGAGCCCGAGAGTGGAAAGGCTTTAATACATTCCAGCTGGACAGCCAGAATTGCTCTGTGCCAAGATCTTCAAGGGCTTGAGTCCCATCACCACTCTAAAACTGTGCCCACATTTACCTCCCACCTGGAACAGAGTCACCATCCTAACTCGCAAGGACATTCCCAGTACGCATGCGTCCTCGCCCCACCCCGTGTTTGTTTCTACTGAGGCTGCGCTAAAGCCCAGTCTCTTTCTTGCTTTCCTTCCTCGACTGGTTTTTCATCTCTAGTTTTCCTTCTGGATCCCTGAGCTATTTCCTTTGCGAGATTCCCTGCTCCCCTCCCCATCTCAGGAGGTATCAGTTTCCCGGTCCCAACCTCACCTGGCTTCGGTGTCAACTCTGCTTCTCTACCCCCACCCAGCACTTCCTGGTATGGGACAGAGCTGGGGTTGGTGCTTGGTCTCTGTCCTTCCTTCTTCCCCGCCTCTACTACGGGACCCCGCCCCTCTAGAGCCGTGGAGCTGAGCCTTCTTGAGATTTCTGACCTTTGGCCTCAGTCTTTGGCACTTTGGGAAAGGAGCCTATAGTTGTTAAAGCACTGTGGCTCCCCGAGGGGCCTCCTTTTTCACCCACCCACCAGGTGACACTCAGAGAACTTGAATTTGAAACCATCGCGCCCCAAAGGAGATGACAGTCCCCCCCTTTTTGGAACTTTTTTATTAATATACTTTTTTTTTGTTAAATTTCTTTGTATTTTTTTTTCCTGCAAGACTTGGTGTTGGCGGCACTGTTGTATAACGTCAATCCCAAATTCCATGATATAGAAATCAGAAGTATAGGTTGAGAAGGGAGGGAGGAGGAAGGCAGGCCAAGGAGTAAACAGAGGTTGACTAGAAAAATAAGAAGAGTGTGTGTGGTGGGCATTCCTGGGCAAGGCCATTCCTTGAGGAAGGGGGTTGGCAGGCAGCTTGCCTCTGCCTCATGCAGGGAAGGAAAGTTCCCCTGGGCTCTACAGTTCTCTCTTGTAGAGCTTTCTGTCCCCAGAGGAAAAGCTAGTAACAGGGATCAACCATATCTCAAACAGGATTCTTCACCCACTTCTCACCTGGGGTTGACGCCCACCTCTGCCCTGCCTGGGAAGTGTGGGAGACACCCCTTCCTCTGATTCGCCTCTTGTGTTCCCATCTCACAGGACTCTGATGTGATGGGTTGGAAACAACTAGACTTGTTGCAGCTTCTGCTGCCCTTCAGGCTCTTATCTAACTTGGCTCTATCCTCTAGAAGTGCTCCCCACAACTGCCAGAACTGAGGAGAGGAGTCCTTGCTGGCTCCAGTGCCTCTAATCCTCTGTACAAGTGTCTTCTTCAGGCCCCTTAGGAATTTAATCAAAGGCCACAAGTGAGTCCAGACCAACCAAATAAATTTTTAGGGCGAAGAAAAGGATAGAGAGGTGAGTGGCAGAGTCTGAGAGGTGTGGGCTTGGTGCACCAAATAGTTTTTGTTGCTTTTCACATTGCTCTTGGCATAACATGCCATCCTTGGGGGTTGGGAGAGGGACTGGCTAAGGAGGGAAGGACAGGGAATGTCTAGGGAGTTTTCTGCTGTTCACTCCCCTTTCTCCCTCCGGGAAGGATCAAGTTAGGCAAGAACTCAGCTGGGTTCTGGGAGGTAAGAGTGGAGGTGACTCCTTGCAGTTTTTGATTTGGGCCAGTAAGCCCCAAGTGGCTCAGCCAGTGCCTTGTCTGGCATTCAGTCACCTCTAGTTTTCTTTCTCCCCTCCACTCAAATTCCAGGAGATTCCTCAGGACACCAAACCCCCACCCTTGGTGAAGTTCTGATTTAAAGAAAAGGTTGGGGAGGACATGGGGGCAATGGTCTGACTTAGATTTGTGTGTCTCAGAGAAGAGAGCCCACTCTGCAACTCTGAGGGAGAACAGCCCTTCATATGTAAACAATCTAGAGAAAGAAGGGGTTGGGGTGGGAAAGAAAACAAGGAAGACCAGAGACAGGTCCAGGATAAAGGAAACCATCTCAAAGAAGAGAGGGGACTGAGAAGCAAGAGACAAAAATAAAGGGGGCACAGGAAAAAAAGGAGGAAGAGGAGAAAACACAACTTGGAGGGGGAAAGAGAAAAAGGCAGGCCAAAATGGGTGGAAAGGCAGGCAACCAGAGCCAGAAGGAGGCCAGGATGTCGCCTCAGGTGAGGAGCTGGGAGAACAGGAATGCCAGGCTGAGGTCCAGCAAGGCCACGGCTCCTACCACCAGGGGGTTGGCAGCTCCCTAAAGAGACAGAGGGTGAAGTGGGTTCAGTTCTTGAGCCAAGTGCTAGGTTCCACCTCCCTGTCGTGGCTTTAGTAACAAGGCCGATGGGTCCCAGAAACATCTCTGCACAGGTAAGAGCAGAAGAGCCCATCCTTGTTCCAGATTATGAAGTATCTCCCTTCTTCCTACACAGGGCCCTGCCCTCACACTCTGAAGATAGACACACTGCCTCCCTCCTCCCTCCCACCCACCACCACTCTCCCCCATCCTCAGAATATCACGTGGGCAAAGCAGAAGGTGCCTGGCCTTAGTAGCAGACATTGGCAGCAGCAGCCAGTACTGCAGTTAAGGCAGAGAGAGGGAGGAAGGGGTGAGGGAGGATGTGGTTGCTAGGAGATGGGAGAAGGCCTGGAATCCAATCAGAGCAGAGGGTTCTGGAGAAACGCCCCGCCTCTCCCGATTTTCTGCAACCCCCCCCCCCCGCCCTTCTTCCCAGGAGAGGGAGGGAGAGTGAGGGCTGGGAGAAACAATTTTTTCCTATTTCTGGGCACCAAAGAGAGAAAGTATGGAGGTGGGGTGCGGGTGGAGCAGGAAACTGGTGCTGGAAATGATATGGAAGGAGAACAGGAAAAAGTGTTCCAATTCCCCCATTGATTCTTAGTTCGTAGCTAGGGGTAGTTTACTTAAGTGCCTGGAGTCGGTTCCCTAGCCATCCTCTGGAAGGGCTGGACTTGAAGGTCTCCAAGATTCCTTTAAACTGCAAGTTATCTCTTTTATAAAGTGGGATATGGTCCAAGACCGGCCAGGCAGAGAGGAAGCTGAGTGGAAATTGAAGTCTCTCAGGGGGTTATACAGAAGCCTCGAAGGGGTGGGAGGCAGGGCTTTGAAAATAAGAGAGTATAAAAGGATGCTCACCGGCTGGGCAGGCCTCTCGGTGGCAGCAGGCTCCTCAAACTCTTCTGTCAGGCACCCAGCGTCAGGACCCCTTGAAGACAGGCCCCTCAAAACTGGCATGGTGACAGGCTCAGGATCTGAGCCTCCTGGGGCCCTCAGCTGGGGCAAGGACTCTTCATCTTCCCCCTCCTCCTCTCGAAGACTTCCTGAACTGTCACTGCAGCCTCCGAGAAGCGGGGAACCGTCTCTGGGTCCTGGACCCTGGGTCCCGGCCTCATCCTCAGCCTCATAGCCAGCTAGTTCCTCTGCCTGCTCCCCGGGACCGCCCCATTCCTCGGGCCAAGCTTTAGGGCTGGAGAAGGGACCCCAGTCCCCTCCAGGAGGCAGTGGGCTCCTGCGGCAGGCAGGGGCTCGCCAAGGTTGGTGGGAGGGGGCGGGGCTGCTGGGCAGTTCCGGAGAGCCCTCTGAGGGAGTCAGTCCGTTCTCGTATACCCCAGGGCTGTCTTCATCCAAAGGCTCTGTGTCAGAACCTCCTGAATCATGTCTGGGTCTGCGGCCTGGGCAGGAACAGCTAGGAATCAGTGGGGCTTAACTGGCCAGGAGCCAGAGAGGCTTGCCGCTTATTCCTTGATTAGCACTTTCCAGGGTTCTGGTTACCTCCAGGCCCATAGTTTCTCATCACCAAACCCCAAACCTTCCATTACCCTGCCTCATACATTCTCGGTTCCACCTCCAAGACACCCTCCATCCCTTTGTTTTTTCCACCCCCAGATCTCTGTGTCCCCCCCCCCCCATTGCCATGAGCCTCTCCAGCTCCCCAGGGACTCCCCCCCCCACCCCACAGGATGCCCACACCTCACCTGGGGCCTCTAACATGGGTTGTAGGTCCTGGGCTATCAGTTTGGCCATTCGCGCTGCCTCCACAGCCTTCTCGGCGACGCTGCTGGCTGCCACTGCTTTTAGGAGGGCGTCTGCTGCCCTGTTGGGCCCCAGGGACAGGGACTTGTCTGACTTTCTGCCATGCCAATTTATTCATGCGCTGATGCTCCAGCCCCTTACCCTGTCCCCGCCCATCACATCTACCTAATCTGAGCTACCTCTGGAGCCATCATCCCTCTGCACAAAGCTGGCCAGGGCAGGTCTCTGGTTGGTTTCTTCACTTAGTCCTGGGCTGTGTTACTGTCATCACACTCTCTCCTCTCACACCCTTCTACCCTTCCGTCCTGTAGTAACACTTCATCCCTCCAGCTGCAGGGCCAGCTCCCCTCCCAACTCTTTACCTACTGCCATCCTGCTCCAGCTTAATGAGCCTCTGCTTTCTTGGCAACTCCTTTGTGGCCCTGTTGCTGTTAGTATCCCTGAATCCTACCAACCCTTTGGCCCCCTGGGTCAGATCCTGCTCTAATAGTGGTGACAGCCCCCACGTTGTTCAACCATCACTTCCTTTTGTCTCTTCCATTTCCACTGCAAGTCCCCTTATTTAACTCTACTCCAACCAGTTTAGATTTCCTGGCAGGAAAAGTTTTCATCTTGCTTTCTTTGGCCTCCTCTGTTGTCACACCCTTCTCCTCTGTTCCTGGCATTGCCTCTCCCCACCCCAGTGCACCTCTGAGATCTAACTACTGAATCCCTTTGCCCTGCAGTCAATGAGTGCAGTTACACCTATGTAAACCCAGTCTGCCCTCTGTGCCCCACTGCTGTGCTAGCCTGCTCCTCCTCCTGTTCAGCTCACTTTAGAGTATTGTCAGTCCTGGCTCCACTACTGTCTCGCCGTTCTTCCTCAGTTCTCCCCTCCACCTAACCCTCTGCGGTTGGGTGGTTTAGGATCCTCCAATGCTTCTGTAATCCAGACATAAGTGATGCACAGAGGAGCACAGATGATCAGATGTACTTGCTCTGGGTCTGCCTGGATTAAGACTCATGACTCTTTGGTCACAGGCCTTTTTTTAAATCCATCTAAGAAGGGCACTTTGTATCTGGTGGTTGGTGATGCCCACTATAATTCTAGGTGAACTTCCTATCGTGTACTGAGGGCATATGGTCATCTTCCTTCCTCCGAAACTGGCAGATTAAGGACTTCAGAGCCTACTCAGGGGGACACAGGATAACCCTGTCTGTATGTAGGGTTTTCAGAATGTTTATAACTAACACTGTCCTGGAACTGAGCTGGGTTCTGAGTAGCTCTGAGGTTCACTCTTGGGTTGCAGTGAGTGATGCTGCTGGGCACAAAAATGACAATAACCCGTGGCTTTTGACATGGAAGGTGTGGATTATGAAGTCTAGGCAGTAGACTTAGTCTGTGCTCAGGCATCAGGCCAGACTCAAGCTACCTGGCAGATGTACCTGCTGCTGAGGCTCTGTTGTTACCATGGCAGCCAGCAGCCAATCAGGGTTGCCAGGCCTGTTGCTGGGGAGACCAGCCAGCTTCTTCCCACTGCTTCATCTTCTAGTTAGTGAGATCAGTTTTTCTTCCCTCTGCATATGCCTCCACCCAATCTAGCCCATAATGGTTCACTATGCTCTGACCTCCCTCTGCCCTGGCTTAAGGCCCTACATTCTAGTACCCAAACACTCAGACACATCTATAGATGCATATTCTCTGTCCCAGTCATCTACTCCAGATGTTCATACATGTTGATACTTAATCATACTCATATACATGCACATAAACAACAATTTGCCCATTACATAAATTCATTAATACATATTTGGGCATAACCTGATCATTGGCCCTCTGAAGTACCCTCATCCCCTTTATAGGGAACAACACATATGGATTCAAATGGGTGTGAACTGAATAAAATAAGGGTCTTTTTCATCTCATTCCAAATGAATTTTGGTTATTTTTAGGTCAGTGTTATCTAATTCAGTAGTCAGAATCCATAGAACTATTAAGCACTCAAAAGCAGGCCTCAAACAGAACCGATGTAAATGACAAATATAACCAACATTTTAAAGAATCCAGAAGGAATGTAAATTATAATTGGTTGAAAAGATAAAATTTTGGAAATATGGCTTAAAAACAAATATATTATTAAAATTCATTTAACCTCTCCCTCTCTCTCTCCAGAGTTTCTTTGTGTCACCCTGGCTGTCCTGGAACTAGCTCTGTAGACCAGGCTGGCCTCAAACTCAGAGATCCTTCTGCCTCTGCCTCCCAAATGCTGGGATTAAAGGTGTGTGCCACCACCCCTGGCTTACATTATATTTTTATTGGTCATTACTACTTTAGATAACAGGGCTCTATGTGATTAATGGAAAGGAAAAACCTTTAGAGCGAGACCCCCTCCCTTCAAGCCCAAGCAGAAGAAGGCAGAAAAAGAAGAGCTGATAGAGAATAGATTTCAGCTGCAAAAACTATGCCTCCTCAAGGCCAAGGCTGAAATAAAGTCAGTCTGGGAGGTAGTGAGGAAGGGACTATGGTGTCCTGTCCAGGGTGGATGCTCCCAGCCTAAGACCTGAAGGCTGTGTGAGCTGAGCAAGAGGAAGACCAGGGCCTGCACAAAGCAACGTTCACCGCGCCGGCTATACCATAGACTCCACAGACACACATATCCACAAATACACTGGGGAACAGTCTTACTACCTCCCTCCAACACTCAGCCACCCAAAGTTACACTAACACCCACCTACAGCCTCAGGTGTAAACATCCTAACTCCTAGGGCTACAATTGCCTGCCCATGCTTCCCACCACGCTGTAGGCCTTGGCACTTGGTTCTCTTAAGCATAGTACCTAGAGGGTCCTCTCCTTTTAAAGCCCTGCTCTGATCTATGCACCAGATGCCCACCTGGCAGCAGCGATTTCCTGGCGCTGGCGGGCAGCACTCACAGCTCGACGGGCACCTTCGACAGCCCTGTCCACCTTCTCCTTGACTTTGCCCCGTCTAAGGGCCAGAGGCAGGAGGCTGCGGACGCGTCCCCCGTGCACCAGCCGGTTGCGCTTGTACTTGCCCTCTTCACGGGAGCCATCAGGCCGGGTGGTGCGCCCATATCCGTGCCTTCGGTTGCCCAGCCACTCGCCTTCGTAGCGCAGACCGTTAGATCTCTGGCTCACTCCATAGCCACTGCGCCGGTCTGCACGCCACTCACCGGCGTATACCTCAGTGGCTGAGCCCTCGATGAGGGCGGGTGGAGCTGGGATAGGGGGCCCGCTGGCCTCGGAGCCCGGGGGTCCTGTGCTGCCCACTTCGCTGCTCACCTCGCTGCGCAGAGATCCCCTTTTGCTGCCCAGGGAGCTGCGGCGCCCCCCAGCCCGGAGCCCGCTGAGCAGCAGTGAACGGCGGAAGAATCCACCTGCTGCTGGGGTACGCTTACGGGAGGATGACCCATCTGCATCCCCTGGCCCCGCCAGCACGAAGCCGCCTCGGGAGCCAGAGGCTGGGCTGCCTCCTTCATCTCCTGGTAGGGGTAGGGGAGGAGGCGGCGTCGGGGGGTCGCTGTGGCCCGAGTCCAGGGAGGTGCGGCGGGGTGAGCGCAGAAGCGCCGCCTGGTGGTAGGGTACACTTTGGCGCACCCCGTAGCCGTGGCGCTTCCCGGCCTGCCACTGGCCTTGGTAGGTGCCTGTGGATGCATAGGAGTTAAAGAGTCAGAACACTTCACTGGGCCCCCAAACCCAGTAATCCGTGGCCCCAAAGCCCATGGAAGCCCAAGTGACTGACAGGTGAGAAAGACCGAAGCAGTTAGTGTGGTGATCTGGGAAGGGACAGGCCAGGCTTCGTTGGCAGGTGTGGAAGGGCGGATGAAGACAGGTGGGAACCATAACATATGTGGATTTTGGCAGTGTCCAGTGGACTAGGGAAAGGAGAGAAACAGGCAGGTTGGTTGGAGTGTATGAAGGACAGGTGGCCCAGAGGCTGTGATGCCCAGGCTGACAGGTGGTGGTGAGTAAAAAGAAAGGTACATGTCAGGCAAACAGGACCACAGAGTACAAGCTGACTGGAAGAATACAAGTTAGGTGCAGAGGGGTCAGGCAGGTAGAGAGGGCAGGTGGGAGGGGCAGGCAGATGGGGTGAGGGAGAAGCATGCAGGAGAGGAAGTTGTGAGTATGGTGGTGGTGGGAGAGGCAGGAAGATGGAGGTGGGGTGGGGTCCTGGGCTTGGGGGGGAATGGTGTGAGGGACACACACTGGAAACAGAAGGCTGCGCACCGCACGCATATGGCTGGGGACGGAGGATGGAGGATGGGACTAGCAGGGCGTGGAGGGCGAAAGGCTGGGGAAGGCACACGCGCCGCAGGCCGGCGGGAGGCGCACGCGGACGGGCAGACAGTGGGCCGGGCCCCGCACCTCCATCGGAGTAGGTCTCAGTGCCGTAGCCGTCCTGGAAGCCGTCCTTCCAGAGCCCGGCGTAGCGCAGGCCGGACACGCTCTCCCACACGCCGCTGCGCCCCTTCAGCCCGCCCAGCCACTCGCCGCGGTAGGTCCAGCGGCTCTTGCGCTCCACGCCCAGCCCTTCGCGCTTGCCCTGCTGCCAGTGGCCCTGGTAGCTGTGTCCGCCGGGCCCGGTGAAGACACCCAGCGACTCGAAGCCGTGCGCCCAGCAGCCGCTGTACTCTCCCTGGGCGCCGGGCCCCGTGCACACGCCGTAGCCATGTGCCCGCCCCGCCTCCCAGCCCCCCACGTAGCAGCCCCCGTCGTCAAAGTCGAACTTGCCCCCGGGGGACATGCATGTAGTTGGCGCGGCCTCAGCCCCCTGGCGGCTCAGCGCATCCTGGGGCTGGAGAGCCGGCTGGGGGCCTGGGGACCGGGTGAGGCCTGGGGGCGGGAGCAGTTAGACCGGGGCTGGGCGGAGGGGCCCCAGCGCGGGCAGGCAAGGCCGGGCCCTCATCCTGAGTGGCTGCGGAGAAAGAGGGGTGCAAGTAGAGAGCGAGGCAAGTAGAGAGCGAGGTCCCCTTCTTTGCCTGCCGCTCCCCTGTCGGTGGCTCTAGGGCATCAGCACCGCCCTCCAGCCCTCCTCCCATCCCCCCGGGCAGCATCTTTCAGCAGCTTCCAAGCAGTGAGGGCAAGGGGGCTTTCCCGTCCCTCCCAACTTGTAGTGGGCGCCTTCTGGGACTTAGGGTCTCATCCCTGATCCGGAGTCCTAGTTCTTCAACCTAGAACCCCAGAGTGTGGATAGCAGTTGGAGGTGGGGGACTTGGGAGGGGCCTGGGCAGGCAGGGTCTTTCAACACCTGCTTTTTTTTTTTTTTTTTTTTTTTTTTTTGCTATTTGTGCCCCTCTGCCTTGATTCTTCGGCTTCACTAGCAAACCCGGGTGCGGGGGAGGCGGGAGGTGAAAATGTAGCTGGAAATCCGGACCCAGGTGGGCCGATGATAGGATAGGGATGGGGGGGGCGACGAGGGTAGGGGTGGGCAGACTGGCGAAAGGGTGGGGGCAGGTTACTCACCATGTGGGCTGGGGCTCAGGCTGCCTCCCGGGCGCAGTTTCCATGTCAGGGTCCCTCCACTCACACCTCACCCGGACAAGCCAAGCCCCCTTCCCTTCCGGAAAGACTGCTACGACCAGAGGAGAAAGGTGGGGAGCTATGGGATAGTCCCCTCTCTCCTCGCTGAAGGTGCGGGCTAGTGTTGGGCAGGGTGCGGGGTGAGAATGGGTGTAGGGGGAAGAATCTGCCTTGAACGGAGGCAGCAAAGAGGAGCTGGGAGCTGGATGGGAAAGAGGAGGGGGCTATCAAGAGAGGGTGTGTTTATTTTTTTCTTCTTAAGGTTGGGAGAGGAAAAAAAAATCAAAATTCCAATTCCATCCCAGCACAAATCAATGTTTTCTCCAAACCCAGCATCAAGGGGGAGGCTGGGCCAGGCAGATTTAAAGGGGCAGAGAGGAGCGGAGAGGGTGGAGAGAAGAGTCAATGGCAATGATGGGGGTGGTGAGAGGGATGTCCAGGCAGAAAAAAATGGGGGCTTGCTACCCCTGAGATGAGGAAGAAGGCAGGTGGAGAGGAGAATTGGAGGCGCAGAGACCCCCACGGTGGAAAGAAACCCTGGCATGCAGGCAGGGAGTGGAGTGAGGCGGAGGGGAGGGGAGAGGAGCTAGGGGGAGGAGTCTGAGCTTAAGATGGGGAGGCAGGGGGAGGCTAGAGCCAGGTGGGGGAGGAGAGATGCTGGGGAGACCGGGAGGGCGAGAGGAATACAAAGAAGGAGGTGCAGGGGAGAGTTAAGGCGGCGGGGTGGAGGGAGGAATACACCAGGCATGGGAGACCTAGTCCAGGGCTGATGAGACGGCTAGGGACAGAAGCAGGGAAGGACGACACGAGGTTGGACAGAAGGCGATAGGGAGCCGAAAAGAGCGAAATAGGGTTGTGATGGGAGCGAGAAAAGCCCTGCAGAGAAAGGGCAGGCTTGGGAATAGAAATCCAGGCAGGAAGAGCACAGATTGAGACAGGAGACCCGGAAGTTTGTGGGGACCCTGGGGAGAGGCATGAACCTGCCAGCTGCTTGGCCCGGAGCCAGGAAGCATTTGAGCTTGGATACCTCTGTCCATTCATCTCAAACTCCTCTGCAAGACCGTGCCCACCTCTCACAGTTTCAGAGGTAGCTTGAGCTATGCTAATATGCACTGTGGTCTGTCTGCCTTCACCAACTGTTCTGTCTAGTTGTCCCTCTGAAGGGAGTGTCGGTATTTTAATAGGGGATCAAGTTTGAGGAGGCCATCAAGATCGTGGGGCTCTGAAGTCTTGTGTTTTGCAAGCTAGAAACAAAGACACATAGGTTTGCTTGAGCAGGCCCTCACAGCTGTGAGGCCCTTCAGCTGTGGCCCCTTCAGCTTAACCGCCCTCTTTCCTTGTTCACTCACTGGAGTTAGCTAGAACCACACTGGCACAGACAGTCTGCAGGCTGTTTTTCTTCCCCCTCAGCTTCTTCAGTGCCCACCCTTAAGCATTTTAGGGATTGAGGCACTGCCCAATCATACATGATTGTGTGACCAACCAAGTCTGCTCAATTGCTTTAATTTTCCCATAGGACCTGGTCCCTACTGTCTGCTCTTAGCCTCACACCTTATTTAAAGAGAACTGATGCCCGGGAAGAAAAGTCACTCACCAGGGACCACACAGCAGAGGTGGTGGAGCTTGAATCAGAACCCTAGACTTCAGATTTTTACTTTTCTTGGTGCTGGGAATTGAATCCTGGGACTTAGATGAAGCTTGTGTTCTAGAACTGGACTCATAGTTAGCTTGGGATTATTTGAGCCCTTCAGTTCCTCTGAGGAGTCTGAACTTGAAGGCATCCCCTAAGGTCAAGGGTTACATTGGATAAAATAAAGAGTGTGAAGATTGGAATACATAGGGATTTCTCTTGCATTGTGACCCCCCCCCCCAGGGTTTCTCTCTGTAGTTCTGCCTATCATGGAACTCACTCTGTGAACTAGGCTGATCCACCTGCCTCTACTTTCTGAATGCTGGGATTAAAGTCGTGCACCATTACTGCCCGGCGTGCACTCTGTTTTTCTTATATATTTTATGTGGTGTGTGTGTGTGTGTGTGTGTGTGTGTGTGTATGTGTGTGTGAGAGAGAGAGAGAGAAAGAGAGAGAGAGAGAATAGATGACAACTTCTTCAGAAGTCATTATCTTCTGTCTTGTTGAGACTTGTTGTTTCTGCTGTGTAGTGTGTACTCCAGGCTACTGGCCAGAACTTTCAATGGGTTTTCCTGCCTCTACCTACTATTTCCCCTTAGGAGTGCTAGGCTGGATTTTTATGCTGTAGTTTCTCAGTTTGAACTCAGGTTGTAGGCTTGTGTTGTAAGCTACTGAGCCATATCCCTAGCTGACATTTTTTTTTTTTTTAAACTTCGAGGGGAGGGACAACTCTCATTTATTTGAGACAGGGTCTCATTATGTAGCCCAGGTCCATAGTATTCATTGTTCTCCTGCTTCAGCCTCCTGAGTGCTGGGATTACATACAATGCCACCATACCCAGTAGGGACCACATCTTATTTATTTATTGTTTTTTCTTATTTTACATATCGATCCCAGTTCCCTCTCCCTCCTTCCCTCCCATACCCCCTGGCTCCCCTATCCCATTCCCCACCCCCACTCCACAGGGAGAGTGATGCCTTCCAGGAGGGATCATCAAAATCTGTCAAGTTATTTGGAGTAGGGTCTAGGCCCTCCCTCCTGCCTCTAGGCTAAGGGAGTATCCCTCCATAGGGAATGTGCTCCCAAAGAGGGACTACATCTTTAAAACACCTTTCAGAACAAAATAGGGCAGTACATCAGGTACTGGGAATGTGTAGCTTAGTGGTAGAGTTTGTGCCTAGCATGAGCAAGGCCCCGAGTTCATTCCCAGTACCAAACCCAAACGCCAACAACAATAACAAAACCCAGGGCAGCTATAGGTCCACTTGACACATGATAGTCGGTGGGGAGTTCATTCATTCATTCGTTTCTCATTAAGCATCTGCATATTTACCATGAACTAGGAGGCATTTGTCTAGGAGCTGGAGATCCAGTGGTTTATACGGCAGACAAAGGTTCATATTGCAGATGAAACAACTGACAAGCATGTCTGGCTCGTCCACATGGCGTGAATAGGACTTAAAGATGGAACTTACTTTAGACTGCCTCCCCCAGGGAAGAGGAATACAAGGGGATTCTGGGGCAGGAACAGCTGTGCTGTTTCCAGTAGGCACTCAGCTGTTTCTCCACAGTGTCTTACTCCAAAGGTTCCCCCCTCCCTCAGAAAAGGGGAAGAGAAGAAAACACCACACACACACACACACACACACACACACACACACACACACGCATGCACGCACGCACGCACGCACGCGCGTGCATGCACACCAGGGCACTGTGCCTGTTATTTACTTTAGTTTTTAAAATTGTTGCCTGGATGTATGTCTGTGCACCATGTGCCCATGGAGGGCAGAAGAAGGCACTGGATTGGGTCCATGGGCAGTGGAGTTGCAGATGGTTGTGAGCTGCCATGTGAGTGTTGGGCATCAAGCCTGGATCCTCTGGAAGAGCAATCAGTGCTTTTTTAACTGCTGAGCCATCTCTTCACCCTCATCCACCCGTCCGTCCGTCCATCTGTCCACCACCCATCACAGTGCTAGTGACTGAACCCATGGTCTTACCCATGAGGTTTTCTTGCTTCCTCTCCTCTCCTCTCCCTCCTCCCCACTTTTGGGAAATAGGATCTCACTCTGAAGCCCACACTGGCCCCAAACATGGGACTCATCCTTTGCTCAACCTCTCAAATGCTGGGATTAAAGACACATTCCTTTAGATCTTGTTTTTGTTTTCAATTTATTTATTTTTTGACTGGGTTTTTCTATGTAACCCGCCTGTACTTGAACCAATCCTCCTGCTTTGGCAGGTCTCTGCTGGGGAAAGGGTGTCAGGAGGTAAGTAGTTGGGAATGGGGTAACTGTAAAGCTATTCTGAGGGGCAAGTTAGGGTACAGTATTTGGTGAAGTCCTGAGAAAATCTTGAAAGGTATACCCTGAAATGTATGGGTGCCAGCTCCCCATATTTCCCTGAGGGAGCTAGCCTTCTGGCCTGCCCCTAATGGCCACTACAGTCACCTCTTTCAGCATAGGGACACTTGCTATTTTTATTATCTTTCCAGAGAGTGAACTGGTTTGTTTCGTCACTATTTACAAATGTAAAAGTGTCATGGAGAAAGCGGTTGGTGTTAGCTGGAGCCAGGTCCTATGCTTGGCTCTCCATCTGCGTCAGCCCGTCCACTCTTTACATTATGGTAACTGAGCAGTCTAGGCTGGGAGCCAGAGCTGGGCTTCCTAAAGAGACAAAGCCAATCACTTTACCTGGTGTTTCTGAGCTACAGCGGGCCTGTCTCTGAAATGGGAATTTCAGTTTGGTGAGGGCTGAAATGACTGTGAACAGTATGTACGATGATAAATGGAGATAAAATCATTTAGTAGAGCGCCCTCCCAGGGAATGCTAAATACCCAGCAAATGGTGGCTTAAAAACTAGCTTGGCATCATTTCATTTTTATAGGAACCGAATCTGGATCTGGATGTTATTTAATGTGCTAATATGTAGCAGCCCTTGGAACCTGGTATATGTCAGTTTCCCAAGTTAGTATGTGTGTTTCTTATTGCTAAGACAAAGAATGTAATGGAGGAGGGGTTTCTTCTGCCTCACAGTCTGAGGGTACAGGTCCGTCCCAGTGGGAAAGGCACAGCAGAAAGAGCATTGGGAGGCTGGTAGTCCCTCTGGGACTAGCTGGGAAATAGAGAAGTGACTGACTGAAGCTGCGCAGGTCTCGTCCTCCCTTTTATTCACTGAGACACAAGCCTGTGGGTGGTGCTGCCTGCATTCAGAGCAGCCCTTCCCTCTTCAGTCACACCTCTCTGGAAAAGTCCTCATACCCTACCCCTCCCCTTCCAGGGGTGTATTTCCATGGTGATTCTAAATCCTGTCAAGTTGACAAAATTATCCATGCTGTAACAAATGCATTTGGGGAATTATGAAAATCAAGCACAATATCAAAAAGAAAATAGCAGCTCCTGTAGTCTCCTTGTATAATAAGCACCTTTGCATATTTTCTTTTCAGAATCTATTTATTTTTAGGTGTACATTTGCTGAATGTGTCTGGGCACTA